AAGCTTCATCCAATCACAGTCATCGTTGACAATTTTTTTTCTGTCGCGAACGTCGTTAACAAATTGACACTTAAGTGTCTTGTGTGGTTTGAGAAAAAATATATCTTCGTCTCGTTCTTTGAGCAGGTTTCGCAACTCGTGAATGCCAAGTTTTACGAGGTTATGCATGCAGTCCATAACGGACATACTTCAAAGGGCCCAGTTTTACGTCCCGTGCCCTTGAGAGTCCCACAGTGAGACTCCGTGTCATCGCCAAGCACGTGGGGCTTCGACCGCCCGTGCCATGGTTCACTCTACAGCCGGTCGTAATATGGCATCCAAAGTCTGACTCGTCTCCATTGATATACAAAGAGTAGATCAGGATGGTAGTCTGAGGTTTTAAGAACACGTAAAATTATTATTTGAAATATAGGTTCGATATTAAACACTCCACGTGCATGTGCTGTGCTCATGCACGCATGGCTGTTGTGCAGCCAGCGATGTTAGCATCACCACATGTTCTGGTTGTATTGATTTTCCAAGCTGTTTTTTTGTATATTCAATGTTCTTAGCCGCTGAGTTTAATCTCTCTACCCTGGGTTTTTTCTCCCTGCCCCACCTTGTTATCGAGTGAGCAATTTTACAGCACAGTGTGTTTGGAACGCCGTGTTACGCAACTGAATCGATGCAATTCCGAGAATCGTGAATGATGTCAGGACATGCTGTGCTGTGTCCGTGTTAGCTTTATGACGCATGCCTGCCCTCTGCTGAAAGTGCTCCAGCAAATCATCTTCTAATAACATTGTTATCATTACGACTCTCATCGTCATCATCGGCATTGTTTCAACTTTGGTTTTAAATGCACTCGAAATAAACGTGACGCACGTGGCTCTGTGCGAACACCAAACCTAGGATATAATTATGGTAATGTGGAGCCGGTATGGGTGTAATGTAAATGAACCACAAATATAATTGTGAATGAAAGTATTAATGACCATGGATTGGGCCCATCGGGTCACTGAGTGCACAGTAGTCCAAACCCACCAGTAGAGTAATCAATTCAGGGTACAGGGCACCGATTCAGATTCGGGTGGACGCTGTACAGGGGTTGAGTAGTGAGATGGTGTGAATTGGGGTTGATTGCTGTGCATCTGGTCATATTTACAGATGCCAAATGCTCCTCAGAAGAACACTTTGAAATAAAGAGTTGCAGTCACTTCTAGATTTGAAGTTTTCGTGACTGCAATGATCCATACTCTTTGGTTATTTCGAGTTGTAGTCACACAATCCTCTGATGCCCCTTGGTGGTGGAGTCATCCGATTCTCAGAAGGAGGGCAGAACACAACGCAGAGCATCCACTCATCGCCTCCGAACTCATCTACCATATATTTTTTAAACTTATTAACCGGCTTGTCTCCTCGTAACGAACACGGGAGGAGAGGGATAGGGCGGGCCGGTTAGAAATGCAAACCAAACTTAGTAACAACTAAAATAAGTAGCAAATGGCAGCAATAAAATGTGTGGGAAGATATGTAAATTTGCAATGCACTACATCGGCTGGGTGTTTCAGTGGTTATAGTCTTGGGTGGGAGTCGATTTCGCCCATCACCCTCCTCCAGGGTAGGGCCCGCGCCGCATCTCCAGAGGTCGTTATGGCTCCGCCCCAAGTTCACGGCCCTCGGCCCGCACACGACGACAGCGCTGCTGGGCCCCCATCCTCGGGAAGTTGTAAGCCATGCCTGCTTCAGGGTTTAATGAAATGTAATGTCATTTTGTGGGGAAGTGAACAGCAATTGTCATAAAAGTAGACTTGCCCCTGCCATATAAATGTTGAATTTCAACTACTGCTCTGGTGTGTGACAGAGAAGATTCCAATTTCACAGTCATTTAAGGAGAGAGATATTTGACTTTTGTATTTAAATGGGCTACAGCAGTTTCTGTAACAGAGTAGTCGACCTGGCAGGTGACGTGTTCGTCTTGTGTTAACAGATAAGGCAGTGGAATCCGGGCGATTTTTTTGCGCGTGTGTGTGGAGTGCATGCCCCTGAAAACTAGGCTTTGTATTAGTTCTGGCCTTTGTGCTGCTAGTGTGGAGAAACATGTGACAATGACAGAGACCACAGCTTCCCAGAGTAAGCACGGCATTGCTTCCTCTGGGCTGGCGTTAAGTGTTGTGTTCAGTGCCTTACCACTGTGCGCAGCTCCCAAAAGACCAGTGCAAGAAATCGAGTTGGAGAGTTGATCCGTCTGTGTACAGCTCTGGAATTCATTCGGCAAAATGTGTACAATTTCCGATGTTGTGAATAGACCGCTCTCTTGGAGTATGTTTTTATTTCAAACCCAACAATAAAGGTAAGCCTTTTTCATCATCAAATTGAACACAAAAGTTTTGATGTGTAAAATAATTCCCAGCGTTGTGGAGAATATAAATAACAAAACGAATACATTTGCAGCGTGCCTTCTTCCCATAGGTGTCTCTCCACATAAACAAATAAGGTTGTTTACACATCCTATCAGCCACGCGGCCTTTTGGGACACTCATAATTTGTGTTGTGTATTCTATTTTCATCAAACTAGGACCCATTTCAAACACGGATGTTCATGACAGTTCACCCAGCATTTGTTTAAGCAAGTCGGAATGCTGATGAGGCATTGAATGTCAAAAAGCGGTCCAGAGTTTGCTTGTATAAACCAATGCTGCTGACATGCACTCCAGGAAGGCTGTGTGGGTGATGAAATGTTTAAGCAAATACCTTTATTTTTGAACATGGGAAACAAATATGGGAAGGATGCTTATCATGTATCTAGGTATTTTGTTTGTAATGTGACTGAATTTAAATATCGGTTAATGTGAGCAGGTTGCAAAAGCATTTTCCACACACGTACAGCGTTCTGAAAATGAGCATGAAGAGACATGGGCACATGATTGAACCTTTGGACATTTCCCACTTTGCAGGCCGGGGCACTCGGAGCCCGGGTTTATGCCAAAGCTGAAAATCAACACGTAGGCATTCGCGACTAATATAACGTTAATTTAGGTAAAAAGTGGGTTGGTTGATCATGGTAAATATTAAATATAACCAGCTGGTGATTGTGTTAAACCAATCCTTGTTTTTGCAGGAATGCAAATTTTATAAATAAAAAACACTTCAAAAGCAATTCCGTAATAATGTGACCTTGGTTTTGCATATTTATGAAGCGCTTTGAGTAGAGCAATGATAGCACTGGTCATTGACTTTCAACGTGCACATAAACAGTGCAATCTCGATCTTTATGGTATTTGAGCAACATCCGCGTGCTAAAGTGGTGTGACGTGGTGGGCCCTGTGTATTGCAAGTCACTTCGAGTTTATCATCAACATCATCGGCCATGACCACGAACAGCTTGGATGATGATCCCACCAAGCCGTTGTCAGCTCGCATGGTGCTGCGAAGTCACATTTCAGCTCGCGCCTGCACACCAGCTGGTTCCATTGCTCCATCCTGACTGTTGGACTTCCTTTCGGGCAAGTTTACTCCCTCGGCTGCCACTCTATCTTTAGTCTCGTTCAATGGTCATGTGTGAAATAAAAACATTATGTTGATGAAGTTTATAATTTATTTTTTATTTTTTATTTACCTCGCCTGTGACTGTTAGTGCCACGAGTGGCTGCAGGAGTACCACGGGTAACGTGAATCCATTGTCTTTGGTTCTATTGGGTAAAGTCATGTAGGTGAAAATAAAATAACAAAAAATCACGACGTTTCGGCCACAACACAAGCGGCCTTCATCAGGTGAAGGGACGAGACTGTCTGGAGGACAGCGCTGGAGTGGGAGAAGCCACGCTTAGATCACGACCTTTAAGCTGTGTGAGAAGAAAAACACAAAGCGCCTTGACAAAGGAATTAGCATATAATTTAGCATTGAAATGGCTCATTGAAATAGCTAAGTTAAAGTATACACATCCGCAGAGGTACCCCTTGACAAAGGATCCTAGCAGTCACGAAAGCTTTAAATCTAGAAGTGAATCCATTGCTTCGCCATCGTCAATATCTGGGTTGGGACAAAGTACTTTGAACCCATTAAGTATAAACAACAACATTCAATCACACATATTATTAAATGATGAAATGTCGTTGGTGAGCTAAAACTCAAAACGTGCATCAATGACACTGGGACCTTAAAAGGAAATAAAACCCAATAGGCGTCGTTTGGGGCATTGCCACAAAAATATTTCAGATTTTCCTTTTAAAGTGTTCAGTTTTTGTCGTGTGTAATTGTGCACAATAACTTGTAAACTAAGGTTGAATATGATTGAATGGCAAAACATCCTAAGCTATAATTTACTTGTAACTGAAAACATTTGCAATTAAGCTAAAGTATGAATCCATTATTTATTTCCATCACGCACATTGTATATACGGTACAAGGATCATGATGCCCACATACTCAAGGAAGGCATATTCTTAACAATCTCTAACGTATGACAAATGGAAGACGCTTTAACTCTTCCTCAGGCAAATTGAAGGAATTATGAACTTTGTGTGGCAAATTAGATTTTAAGATTGTTCATCACGATTGCACGCGTAGCCAGTGTCTCGCATTATGCCTTTTTTATTTCTATAATTTAAGCGTTTATGTGGTAGATGGGCAATGGAAAATAAATCTGTTTTAATGGAAGAAATATCAATTTTAGTAGCAGATGATGATTTAAAATAGTTTTTTGTCGTGGCATGCGTGGCGAGTTTTGAGACGGACAATCTGCATCAGGCCGAGAGCTCTGCACGCAGTGCTCAATGCTGGTGGTCATTCCATTTATTTTCTGGCCTGCGCTTCTCTCCTGTGATGGATTTGTCATCATATTACAGTTTTTGGCTTGCATGTTTTTGAATTGTCACGATTGATTTGTATCTGTGGCTTAAAAGGTACTTTGCAGCTTCTGGCTTCATCAGAAGAAGACCTGATATTCACTTTATGGCCAATGAGAACTTAAGTGGCTGAGAGAAATAGTCAAACAAGAAGCTCATTGTGTTGTGGAGGTGTTACCATGTTTACGGCACAATAAGCTGCGAGCTGCAATTCTCGTGCATTTGTACCGTAGTGACACCCGTCGGTGTTGAACCGCCCATACGGAAACAACGACTATCCTCCCATCGCAATCGAAGAGCGCGGTCAGACTGCGAGGTCACCGGAGCCTGCCGGCCGGACCATGGGTCGCTACTCGGGGAGGTCGTTCCGGCTGATCTGCATGCTGTGCTTCACGTCGGTCTTCTTCGTCACGGAGCTCGTGAGCGGCTACGTGGGAAACTCACTGGCTCTCGTGGCAGACTCGTTCAACATGCTGTCGGACGCCCTCTCGCTCACCTCGGGCCTCGCTTCGGCGAGGCTGGCGCGCTGGCCTGCCACGTCGAGGCACACCTACGGGCTGGTGCGCGGCGAGGTGGTGAGCGCCCTGGCCACTGCCTCGTTCCTCGTGGCGCTGTCCCTGTCAGTGGCGGTGCAGGCGCTCAAGGCCCTGTCCCAACCGGACGTCATCGACAACCCCAGGCTGGTGCTCATCGTCGGGGCGCTGGGGCTGTCGGTGAACTTGACGGGCTTGATGCTCTTCCAAGATTGCTTCTCGTGCAGCCGGCTGTGCGCGAGGTTCAACGCCGCGGAGGGCACGGACGATCGCAAGCCGAGGACGGGTGACAAGTCAACGAAATTATTTCCCACACATTTCATTGCTAAACGCTTACACGTACTCATATTAATAACATTCAAGAAGGCCTTACTTAATCTTCAGACAATCTTCAGCAGCATCATGCATTGAGATGTTTGGAGAATTTCACTTAAAGAGTGTCTTGTGTGTGGGAGGGAACCAGGGTAGCCGGACAAAACCCTCGTGGATGATGGGATAATCCTAAAAGGTCTGTACAAATGGATTCAATAATTGATTTGTAGTATGTGTACTGCCATGTGGTGGCCTCAGCTCGTGTGATTGAAAGTTTCACAACTCTGCGATGCACCCAAAGTGTTGGAGTGCAGGCGCTTAGCTCCTACCCCTCTAACCTCCCCCGACACCCACGATACGTCTTACACAACTATTACTATAATCACCCACTACAAGTGTTATATAACTATTACTGTATTCATACAACTATCACTATAATCATGTTACTCATAACGCCGCATCAGCTGAAAGATAATTGATGCTGACATTGAGTCGGGCTGAATGTGTGACATGAAGATGGCCGGTTGCTTAATGCAGCTTAAGTGAAAAAGAAAATTACACTGATGTATCGGTGAAACGAGAGATACATTTACTCTTTAGTTCTTTCGGTAAAGTCACGTAGAAAGAACATAAATTAAATAATACGACGTTTCGATCGCAACACAAGCAACCGTCATCAGGTAGAAAACAAACATTGTGAACTTAGAAATAAAATGCAATACAACAGAGAGAGAGAGAGAGTCGGCCAACACAACAGTCAGCACCTCACCTGGTTGATTGCGTTCTTCCAAAGATTGCCACATTTGAGAGAGAGACAAAACACGGAGACGCACAGACAGACACACAAACAGAGAGAGACAACACAGAGACACACAGAGAGAGACAACACAATATAAACTCAAATTTAGCAATCTTTTAAAGAACGTAATCAACCAGGTGAGGTGCTGACTGTTGTGTTGGCCGACTCTCTGTGTTGCATTGTATTGTATTTCTCAGTTCACTAGGTTTAGTAACAGGGTTTTACCCTTTTATCTGGCACCAAAACTGACACCTTTATACAAGGGATCATGTTTGCAATAACCACAACACAAGCAGTCAAAATGCAAACAAAAAGAGACAACTCTGATAATAATATTGGCACTGTCCTTGAATTTGATTGGTCCACACCCGAGACGGCTTTTCTTAGAGCCCAGTCTCCACTGGTGTTGGACCAGAAGACGCCAAAAGGCGTACAACTCAAAAACAGCGCACTATCAGAGTATTGAGAGCTCGGAGTAAGCATTTACACTATGAGACCTCCTTTGCCAGTAGCAAGATATAGTAATAGGTTTTTACCCTTTAATCTGGCACAAAAACTGACACCTTCATTCACTAGGTTTGTTTTCTACCTGATGACGGTTGCTTGTGTTGCGATCGAAAGTCGTATATTTAATTTATTTTCTTCCCACGTGACTTTACCGAAAGAACCAAAGAGTAATTCCTGCAGTCACGAAAGCTTCAAATCAAGTTTGAGAGATACATTTCACTTCACTTATTTTATCCAACCAGAGGAACGACTAATTTTCACATCAGGAGAGTATAAGCTGTGGTACGTGTGAAAAACTTTAATATAAAGTGAACAATTGGCAACATAACAATTCTCATGCATGTTTAATACCTATGCTTAATATTTATATATTGAAACTCTCTAATTCACAGGAGATGAAGAAATGGGAGCCTCCGTTAAAAGGTCCAAAGAAAATGCCATTAATATCCGAGGTAATTGAACCAAGCATCTGAATGCCAGAGTTCTGGCAATCTTAGGCATATTTCCAAGATGAATTAGGACACATTTTACAATGTTAATCTCATGTCTAATGGTAAAGTAAATATACATGTATTTTCTTCATGTATATACAGACGGGGTAAACCAATGGTGCAGTGCTTTGCGTGGACAGCGAGTTCTATAATTGGCTACAGCTAACATTAGTGGGTATCTGAACCCGTCCTGGACACTCCCTCCACCAGCCCACACTGACCAGGCTCTCATTTCTGTCGTTCAGAAAACCCATCGCCACTGAAACATCAGTGCAGGCGACGAACACACAATTAACAACATGCAACGATGTGCATTGTGTGTGTAACAGTTATTTTCCTCGTCCAGACCACCGGCTCAAAATAACTGAATGCCAAGAAATTTGACAAAATTGACCTGCCGATGTGGACCGGTCCGGAGCTTGCGTACGCATGGCGCACACGCCCCCGCGTGCCGCTGCATCTAATTGACCCCGGCGCGGCGAAGTGCAGTCCGATAGCTCCCACGACGCGCGTGACACGGTGAGGCCGTCGTCCAGCAGCGGAGTGACACGGGCGGCCCATGTGCGTCGTCGCCCAGGGGTGCTGCTCCACACGCTGGGAGACGCGCTCGGCTCCGTCACCGTGGTCATCACCGCCATCATCTTCAACGTGAGGCCCATAGCCAGCAAGGAGGAGTGCAACTGGCAGTGCTACATTGACCCAGCCCTCACCATCGCCATGACCCTCATCATCATCACCTCCGCGGTGCGTCTCATACGGGAGGCGGCCGTGATTCTGCTGCAGATCGTGCCCCCGGACATTCTCATCAAGGACATCGGTGAGCGTTTCTCTTCTCTAGCATGAAGCCGGGCACAGCGGCAGAGTGAGCGAGTGGCTTGCAGTAAAATGAGAACAATTTTCTTGAAAAGTCAGCAGTGGTTCTGTGTTTAGATTCGCACCCGGAGATCGCTTTCACGTTTTGACTCGGCTGCTGCTGAGACCCTTATCCATGCCATCATCTCATGCCAACTCAACTACTGTAACTCTCTCACTCCTCCACTCCCCTCCACACACTCTCCTACCCTCTCGCCTCTCATCTCACTCCACTCCCCTCCACGAACTCTCCTGCCTCTCCCCTCAACGCATTCTCTGCTCTAGCAACTCAGGATTCCCGTTGAAGCTCCCAGTCAACCATTGCTCCATGGTGAGCAATGGCTTGGAGAGGCCTTCACCCAGCTGTGGATTGATCGTGGCCGATGATGGCGGTGAAGGTAGTGATACTGGAGAAAATCCAAGCAGATGAATGGTGCTTGCACCTGCGTTGGTTTTAACCAAGGGCCTTCACTTCAGTGGCCCTGTGGGCGGGCACGCAACACGCCATTGCCCCAGCCTTGCTCCCAGCCGCGCCATCACGTACATTTGCGTGTTTAACTTATCGGTAATTGCTGCATAGGTGGCCTTGGTTGTGCTGCTGTGCAGCTCTCCCATGTTTTATTCAGGTTGTACAGCATATTGTTCAGCGTGGTGTCTGACATTTCACTCCATGTGCTTCGAACCTTTTTCAGGAACTCATCACTTCCTATAGACTCTATCCTGCTCCACGCATTTAGGCGCTTCCTCAGGAAGTGCATTCTAAGATCCTCAAGCTGTCAGCTCATGGAGCGAAACGTGGAGTGGACATGAAGGAGCATAGGCCATCACACAAACTCCGGTCATCCTCGCAGCGGCTTTTGGCTAACTATCAAACAAAGACGGTCACTGCATCGCGCACTTTCAGATGCGCTTCTGCGGCCGCCTGGAACGCTCTTCCGATATTAGAAAGCCACTGGAGCGATGCAATTTTAAACGTAGATAGAAAACTAATTTCTTTCGAACTGACTTTTGTTTTTATTTTTTTGTCCTTCCCCTGCACCTCCGAATATGTACGGTATGAAAGAATTTCAATATACTGTACATACAAATCATCGAACATTGTACCAAACAACACACGTCACAACTCACACACGGGGTTGCCAACTTTTCCACTGTAGAACAAACCTGGACATATTCTCAGTCAGCCTCGGTCTAGTAATAGGTTTTTACCCTTTTATCTAGCACAAAAACTGACACCTTTATACAAGAGATCATGTTTGCAAAAGCCACAACACAATTAGTCAAAATGCAAACAAAAAAGACAACTGATCATATGCACTGTCCTTGAATTTGATTGGTCCACACCTGAGACGGCTTTTCTTAGTGCCCAGTCTCCACTGGTGTTGGACCAGAAGACGCCAAAAGGCGTACAACTCAAAAACAGCGCACCATCAGAGAAACAACCTCGGTCTATTATCAAAACTGTGAAGTAAACTGCATAGAGTTCAACATAATACCGTTTCCATGACTCGGTAAAAATCAATTGCTGCTGCCACCCAAACACACATACCAATTCCTGAGACAAACACGGAGAGGTGAAAATCCAAACGCAAATCGAGGCGCGATGTCAGTTATTCACTTCCTCGTTCATTCGATCTGGCATGCGTGTGTGTGTGTGCGTCTTTGTTTTTTTGGGATGGGGGCCTGCAGAGCAGAAGCTGAGTGGGATTCCAGGCGTCCAATCCATCCACCGCCTGCATGTCTGGCGGCTGACGGCCGGCCGCGACGTAGCCAGCGTTCACATCAAGTGCGCGGGGATGTCCGACTACGCCACGGCAGGCCTCCACATCCACGACCTGCTGCAGCTGGAGGGCATCGACGACATCACCGTGCAGCCCGAGTTTGCGCTGCCGCGTCACGGCGACTGCGAGTTTCCCTTCCCCGTGGCGGACGACTGCAATGAGCGTGGGGCCTCCAGCGTGGCCGAGAAGCCCGAGTGGAGCGCCACGACCCCGGTCACGGAGAAGGCCGGGGGCGAGCGGTTTGGGGCCACGCAGAGTGGAGCGGACGCACAATGGGGAGCGCACGTCGTCACGAGGAGCTCCAGGTTGTGATTAGTTGCTTGAATGAGCAGAAAGAGCTTTTTTTTTAAAAATGGATTTGTCCCTCTCTGTCATTTTCATTAATGTCAGAGCTGGCCTCAGCATACGTGGCGCCGAGGGCAGACAACAATTGTAGTCGAGCCAATTGGCGCCCCTCACGGCGCTGTGCCCGGGTCATCCATCCCCAAGGTCGGCCCTCTCATAAAGTTGATTGAGGGCCAGCCTGGTGGAAGTGAGGTCTGTTTTACTGTTTTGCTGTCTTGCCACTGGCTGCTGAGTGATTCTAGAATTCATGACTTTTATGGGGGCAGGCAATTGTAGAACAATTGGACCTTGCTAGCGCCACCTCGCTTGAGAGAATGAGATCCTCCATCCCCGTGTCTCTGCCACCCAGTGACTCCACAGTCAAATCGCTAACCAGTTGCCTGCAACCTATGGGTTGAATGCAGTTAAAAGTGTGGGACAAATGGCTGAGTCTCAGGAAAATACAATCACGTCCTTCTCCTTCATCATGTGATGCCTTTGATGGAGGCTGCGTTTCTGCCACTTGTGTTTAAAAGTCGATGTCCACTCGCCACTGCGTTGATTTAGATGATGTTCTCACGCTTGGGTGACCACTTTCAGTGGTATCATATCAGGGAGGGGGCATTTTTGACCCATGGTGACAAGGGATGGGGGGTTGTTTATTCTTAATCCTTAACAAGGTTGCAAAACTGTATAATTGTTACACTAATATCCATAATGAAAAATGTTAAATGTTTTTTTTATATATGTTGGCTAATTTAAGTGGCACTCTGGAGATATACAGTACAGTATGTACGTATTACAATAAACAAGGTTCTCGAGAAATATTAAGAACCTTCAATTGTATTATCTTGCGAAGAAATATTTATTTAAAAAAAAAATTTCGTTGTAATCAACTTCACACTTAACCGCTGTAATGTTACACTGTACAGGACATCTCTGATTGCAATCGCCGTCTGATCTCTTGAAGCCATATACGTTGTTACATATCACATGTCAAATAAAAGATTGATACATTATAGAGGCGCGTCGATTCATCCAGATGATTCCTGAAGCTCATGAAAGCGTGCATCGAATCGCGTCGCGTTCGTGTTCCTTGTCACTGCAGCCACGAGAGACGCCACCACTGCTCACGACGAAGGTAAAGAATCGCGTCGTGACGTTGAATCGTGACGATTAATAGAATAATGTACAGCTCTATGTCAATGCACGAGAGTGGACTGGCACGCTGGTAAGTGCGGGTTGCCGAAGTGACGGCCCTAGCACTGGTTCAAAACATTGCTGATGTTGGCCGCGATGGGGAATCAAACCCAGGTGGCCCGGGTTGATGTCGCAGACCGCGAGATCACAACTTGAGCCACCGCCCCACTTTCTTCAAATAGATCGGGTGATCTTCGAATTCAGGTGATCGATGATTTAAAAGCGGGAGCCCCGTCAAGATCTTGCGTCCGCTCCGCCACCAAAATAATCTCGCCGTGCTTCAAGGAAGGCGTTCTCTGCCTCGCGTGGGTTTTTTTTTTGGGGGGGGTGGGGGGGGAGGAAATCCGATTCAAAAGTCCCGGGGAGACACGGCTGTTGATCGGTTGTATTGCGCCTCCTACCGGCGGGGCCTCTTGCAGCCACATCCACGCCGTGGTGACTCACGCCCGGGCGGTCACACAACCCTCGTGGGGCACGCGTCCCCTACGGGGTGGGGTGGGGTGGGGAGGAGAGAGAGGGGGCCCTCATCCAGCAGTGGATTGACAAAGGGCTGTACATTTTTCTTTGGTTCTTTCGGTAAAGTCACGTAGAATGAGAATAAAATTATAAATTGATAAAATAAAATAACAATAATATTATTTTATTCTCATTCTACGTGACTTTACCGAAAGAACCAAAGAAGATTAATCCTTGCAGTCACGAAAGCTTTAAATCGAAATTTAAAAGGCTGTACATTTTTATTTGGGTCTTCCGATAAAGTCAAAATGTTATTTCGGTTTGAACCTACCATCTGCGTGACTTTACCGAAAGACCCAGAGAGAAATGAAAGACCCGAAGAATAATAATTCCTGCAGGCGCGAAAAGGACTGTACATTGGTGCTGTTATTTTGAATGAAAATGACTTCCGGATTTGTTTAGACAAAGGTTATACGCGGAGAGAGCCTCGCATTGATCACGGCTGATTATGACAGTGATCACGATCGGAGATGCAATTGTAGTTCATACCAAACAATGGTACGTAAGAGAATAACAAAACACGCAATCTCTTCAAACCGGAATGTTGGCAACATTTGAATTTAACTCGTGCCACATCGCGGATGATCTCGCCATGAGCTCTCTCAGAAGCTAAGCAGTGTTGATCCTGGTGAGTGCTCGGTTAGTGTTACCCCCTCAGATGTTGTCGTGGCTAAGCTCCAGTTTCTCTGTTTTCCTCCCACATGCGAAACTCTCACTCATGGAGCTGAGCAAAATCCCAGTGTAGGACTTTACTGAACAAGAGGTTTGATACTCGATGAGACTTTCCTGAGTAAATGTCATTATGACATTTATTAAACTTGGGTAATTGTATCACCACGGAAGGACAGAGCTATAAAGAAGGAGCAACAATCAATGGACAAAAGCAGTGAATGTCAACGGTCACTCAAGATGAGGTGAGGGCAGCAATGGCCTTTGGATACAGTGGCACGGTTTGTATTGATCACAAAAACACAAGAGCCAGGACGCGTTCATCCAGCAGTGGTTGTAAAACTGTCAACTCATTCATCAACTTACAGTGCCGGCCCTCGTGGATAGAAAACACAGGGCATGTCTGAAACTCGCTGAACACTGCGCATGGAACAATGCATTTTTTTTTACGTCCACAAAGTTAACCCACCTTGGGATATTTAGCAGCGCCGCGCCAGGCATCCCATAATCTACGCACACACCCTGTTGAACCTGGTCGACAAATCGTTCCTAAAATAGCCTTTACATTTCCCACACACCATAAGGACTCTACCATTACCCAATGAAACATTGCTTTAATTGGTAAATGCAGAAGTGGACCTGTAGGACCAACGGCCAACAATGTACATATTCATGCTCAGCTCTTTTTTTGTGAATCCATTGTTGGTTGGTTGACGGCTTCCTCATGCTGCACGGGTCGTGGGGGTACTTGGACCATACTTAACCACGCTGGTCAGTGCAGGTGGTTTAAGCAAGGAGATTAGACATGGGACCGTAGTACAGTATAACAATGGGGTTTTCCGAACTGCCCTCTGGCTGACAATGCAGCCTATGACCAAATCAGCCAGAATGCGGCCGAATCCATTGTTTTCAACATGAAACATTTCACCTGGATTGTATGTGTGTTGAACTTTTTTCGCACCATACGCAAGCCGACCGTGCTAATCGGAGGTGCGGATAATCTTAAAGTGATTCTTTTAAGCTATAAACTATGTTTCTTTTATATGACAAAATAAATGTTGCATCTAACGGATAACCTCGTGAGGTGTGTATACAGGTTATCAAGCGTCACATGCAGAGTGAACACGAATTAAACAGTTCTTGGAAGTTAAGCAGGTTCAAGCCTGGATAGTGCTCGGAAGGTGACACAGGTGGCATAGGTTGCTGTCAGGGCCTTCTTTGTGCATGTTCATTCAATATTAGTTGATTTTTTTTTGTAAACAATCGACTAACATTCGTGACCCACCCCAGGCAGGCAAGAAATTGTAAAACGACTTTGTGCAACTCATAAAGTCATAATTGCCCCTCTGAAGCTAGCGATTGCATTGGTTCCCACCTCCTATGCATCATTCTAATGTCACACACGCCAGTAAATACCCTCTTAGACGCAGAGATTAAAAAACTTCCAACCCAGAAAAAACTGAGCCCAGCCAAGGTTTCACATGGATAGCACTGCTGCTGCTCCTGATGCCCCTGCTGCTCCTGCTGCCCCTGCTGCTCCTGATGCTCCTGCTGCTCCTGATGCTCATGCTGCTCTTGCTGCTCCTGCTGCTCTTGCTGCTGCTCCGAGTGTCGAAGAGTGGGGCCAAGGCGTGGTCGTGGATGCTCGTGCTCCTCACCGTGTGGCCCGCTTGCTCTTCTGCGCTGGCGGAGCCGATTACGTTTACCGACCGCCGGTACGTGGCTGCGTAATGGCTCGTGCTCGGTGACCTCGTTCAGCCCACCGCGTGCGTCTGCTGCGGTTTGGTGGCCCGCGGGTGAGGCGACTGACAGAGTGGCAGCCAACGGTGGGTGGAGCGATGAGACTCAATAGTGGTCGAATGAATCGTAGAGCCCTGATATGTAAATTGCAGGACCTGACTATGTTTTGCACGTGTGCGTACAAACGACATGTTCTGGTCGAGTATGGTGCCGAGGCTCTTTAGATGAGTAGAAAACTGAATCCTGAAGTCCACGACCGCCACACCTGATCCTCCCACAATTTTTTTCCGCAAACATTTTTTCGTTTCAGGTCTACGCAACAGTTAGTGGCGATGTGAATGGTGACACGTGCAGGATGGATTTCTCTTCCTGGTACTCTCCTCAAAGTTGTGACAATATCGTTGTAGTTGTCGTACTTGTGTGGCGATGGTGGTGGTGGTGATTATCATGGTATTCACCGATGAAGATTTGTATTTGATAAATATGTGTATTTTCCATTTCTTATGTAACGTAGTTGTCTTTTGTATTTGACTTCAATTGTCTTCATTTCCGTACTTGAGGTTATTGCTTTTGTCATTTTGGTGACCAAGGTCACTCTTGTAAATGAGACTATCCCCATACAGTCCAGCCGCCCCTGCTGCCAAAGGAATGTTTTATTTTATTAAGCAGAAAGACCAATTTTTTAGTGTGAAAGCTTCGTATCACAGATTGAGCTCTCTCCTTGTTTCTCCCTCTAGGCTCACAGACCGACAAGATCTCTGCCGTGACTGTGGATCCCTGCCCAACCCAGCCATGAATCCTCTGCAACAGCAAGACCACCAACATTCACGTCAATTTCACCAGCGCAGAGCAGTGCGCAGAACCACGCACGCTTTTTTTTCTACGGAGCCAATTGGCTACTGATCGACCAATGCCCAAACGTGTATCTGTCCGACGGTGCATTCTTAGACACTTCACATTTGCTGATGCAAACTACGAAACCCCCAACCGACCTGTACCACATCCTTTTACCAGTACTGTTGCCTTGATCTGTCTAGTTATCAGGCAAACTTTGATATGCAATATTTTTTTTATCATGAATTAATATATAGTTACATTGCATATCATTGTGTTTAGGTTACGTACATTCTAGGGCGTCTACGTGTAAGTGTGTGCATTACAGTGTAGTGCGCATGTGCACAACACACCTAATGTGTGTGTCCATGTACACTTTGCGCACGTGTGTGTTCTTGTGTGTTCGTGGGGGAGTGGCGGTGCAGCGGTTATGCTTATGCTTTTCGAACTGGGCGACCCGAGTTAGTTTCCCGACCACGATTAACATCCGTAGCGAATTAAATCAGAACTTGGTCTTGAGCCTCTAGATCAGCTCAGCATTAAATTAGTGCCTGGTGCATTGCGTAAACATCAGCAGTGGGGGGACAAAAGTGGCAGGGTGTGGTGTTGGTCACACCACCCACTCGCGTACAATTTCGTCCTGAACAGCTGAGCACAGCACTTGCCCGAACAGTCAATGCGGGCCTATACAGGATTTGTTGTCTTTGTTCCCATGTGAAAATGTTTTTGTACCGTTGAATCCAATATATATACTGGCAATCTGTGAAAAAGAGCTTAATGCTCATCGGATTCCTCCATTAAAACTATAAAGATGCTGACATTTCAGTAGGTTCCCTCAATGGGTTGGCTTGTCAGCTTACATTCACTGCCAGGCAAAGGGCAGTTGTACTATTTGCTGAGAAGATAGCCGTGCTACCATGCTACCGTCATACAGGTCCATATTGTCTCTTGAGATTCCCACAGTCTAGGTTTGCATATCTGATGTGGCACATGTTTTGAAAAATCCAATATGACGAGGAAGCTGTGATCGCAGTGAATGTTATCTATGCACAGCATTCCGTACAAAGGACAGGCACTGTTGATTTTAATTCTACGATTCCTATATGATATAATATAATGTTTGGGGATATTTTTATGAAATCATTTGTTTTCAAATGTATGCAATGCAAGCATGAGAGTGCGTCTACCATGGAGATGGAGCCATGGAATCAGCTCACTATCACGTGCTCGATGGATTGTTGTCTTACAGGACCATGAGAGACGTAACGGCTTAGGGAGGCCTTCACACGGCCGTGGATTGATTGTAGCTGCCGATGATGATGATATTATGTAAGAAAATACGATCAAAGGTATCGGCAGTGTGTTTAAACCAGGGGTCGGCAACCTGCGGCTCTTTAATGACTGCTTCTTGACGTTATTCATTCATGACCACCGTCTATTTTTCACATTGTGGCTCTTGAAATACTGAGTTTTTTTACCGAATTTGTGGCTCTTCTTGTTATTTTGGTTTCCTACTCCTGGTTTAAACCATTGTTGAAACGCGTGCATTCCAACAGCGACCGCGTGCTCTTCAACGTAACGACGTTTCTTCAGAGAACACGCCACAAAAGACTCGTGTTGTGACGTGTCCTTAATGACCCGCATTGTATTGTTTCACACAGGCTGCCTCGCACACTTTTTTGCCCAAAGCAGTTTTGAACGTTCCGTATGGGGAGGTTTTCCAGTGTCCATTGGCTTCACTAAATACGAACTCACTCACCCCTCCAACATCCTCCTTGCACCGTCACTGCCCGATCCCCTCCTCCCTGCTGACCCACCCCAGCGGGAGCCCCCCCAACTACCGCCGCCCGGAGTTTGGCTGGCAGGGTGCCTGCCACCTCGCCAGCTCCCGGCTCGTGCCGTTCGTGTTGGGGCGAGTGAAGTTCGTTGCTGGCCGTGACGTCACAAGTACGGTGGGCGGTCCGAAATTCGAATCGCGCGTAGCCGTGGGCGGCGCGTGCTGGATGCCGTTAAACCCCGAGAGCGCGCGCGCATGGAAAGCGTCGATGCATTTCGTGGCCAAAACGAATCGGTCGTTTTAAATGATTTTAAGTGATTTGCTGCTCGAATCAGCGTTGACGCTGAGTTCGTCTGTCTACGGCCCTGGGTCAGTGTTGGAAATTCAACATTCACATTGCGTGGGCGAGTATATTCACGTGACAATATAGGTCGACTTCCGCATAAATTGGTACCAATTTTATTGACCCCCGAAGGATGATGGGCTGAGTTGACCCCCAACCAAGACTGGAGCTGCTGCTCACCTTCCCCTTGCGAGCTGCTCGCTCGAGCGATGGGCCACCTGGTGGGTTACCAAAGCTATTGCAGCAGTTTTCAATAATACATGACATTGTAACAAAAAAAAGATTGGTTTAGTTATAGTTTCATTTATTTGGTGTAGCCCTGTGAGCCATTCGGCTCTTGAATCGGGTGCAACCGCAACAAACAAAAAAACAAAAACATGAACAAGAAAACATCTTAAAGAGACTTTGTGCATGTGCAAACAGAAAATCCAGGAAAAAAAACATCAAAATATTCCTGAAATAGCACCGTACACCAACGCTGTGTGCAAAAATCCTAGTGGGATGCAAGTCAAACAACAACAACAAGAAAACATAAATTAAGGCCATCAGTCTAACTCCGTACGACAATAAACAAAAACATGGCCAAACCAAAAAACTTTAGAAATCACCAAAATAAGGCCATAAATGCAATGTAACACTGATCATAGGAACTGTGACCGAATTTTTTACAATAATCTACATAAATAACATGTAACACCAAACCCTAGAGCCACAGCTGGCTGCATGAGTCACTCCACAAACAACAGGAGCATCAGTCGGAGTATCACATTTTTCAATGCACCTTTAAGATCAGCACACTAAATCAAAATACAGATAATACTTTGCAGCGGTCATCCGGAGCGAAACATTTTATTTTATTTTAGGCCACTGAATAGCAGTGGCAGCTAGGGGTGTACAACTCCTCTAGAGCAGTTTTGAGTGAAGGTCTCATAGGTAGTGATTCAAATTGCAGTTTATTGGCAATAGCATTCCAGACCCTGGGGGCATCAATAGCAAAGGCCCTTCCTCCGGTTGTTGTACGGCAATAGGGAATGTGAAGCTGGTAGATGAGCGAAGACCTGATGTCAAATTTGTTCTTTGAAACAGAGAGGAGATCCAGCAGGTAGTCTGCGGATTTTTTCGTAAGTACATCGTGAATAAATAAGATCTGGTGAACATTAAGAGATGTTAAGCTTGACCCAATGTAGAGATCACAGTGGTGAGTCCTATATGGGCAGTTCAATGCAAATCTTAAGGCCGAGTGATAGATGGAATCAAGCTTCTTCAGTACAGTACTTGGGGCTGATTTATACACGATATCACAGTAATCAAGTAGAGGCAGTATGGTAGCTTTTATCAATTCCAAACGGAACATAGGGGGGAAGCAGTGCTTGTGTCGATACAGAAAACCAATTTAATTTTTGTCTTTTTACCAATATAATCAATGTGATCTTCAAAATTCAGTTTTGAATCCAGGATGACCCCAAGATACTTATAGAACTTGACTTGCTCTATTTGATCATTATTTAAGGAATGTAATTTGGGAAAAATAACTTCCTGCTTTAGTCCCGGTGAAAAGCATAGCACCTTGGTTTTGGAGGTATTTAGGACTAGTTTAAGAGCAACTAGCTGATGTTGTAGTTTGTTGAAATCACCCTGGAGCTTAGCAATCACGTCATCCCGAGAGTGGCCAGCAGTAATCAGTATCATGTCATCTGCAAAAAGATTTACCCTGGAATGATCCAGGTCAGTGCCCAAGTCATTGACATAAACCTGTGGAACCCCTTTTGTTATCTTAACACTGTTTGACCTCCAACCATCTGTGAATACAGTTTGGGTGCGAGAAAAGAGGTAATTTTTTAACCATTTTACTGTGTTTTTGGAAAAACCGAGGCAACTTAGTTTACCAAGCAGGGTGTTGTGGTCTACTGTATCAAAAGCTTTGGACAGGTCAAGAAAAAGACAGGCACAGTACTGCTTATTATCAAGGCTACTGTAAATTTGATTCAGAGAGTCTAATGCAGCAGATGTGGTGCTGGTTCCTGGGTAGTAAGTGTTGTTTCCTAATTGCTTATGCCTCAAAAGTACAGAGAATGGCTATTGTTCCCCAAAAACTTTGCCTTTGTGATCAGGACAGTGATATTTTGAAATGTACCTATTTTCAATGAGAAAACGGGCGAATTTGTGTATTTTCGTTCATATAAAGTCATAAAAAAGCAACATATGCATTACTTCAGTATAAATAATTAACATGTATTTATACTAAAGTAATACAAAAATTACTACAAAAGATTTAGACACCAAGGCGCACTACAGCAGGCGGGACTGGCCACAGCGGACCGAGTTCTGTATGGGGAGGAACAACGTCAAGTGGGAGCCACTGGTAGACCCCCGGAAGGTGCTGAAACAAGTTGTCACAAGCTGTAGATAAGGAGTCGGCAGCCTTCAAGTATCTTGAAGACTTCTGCCCTAAGCTGTCTGAGGCAAAGGTCAAAGCGGGTGTCTTCGTCGGACCACAGATGAAGAAGATCCTGGAGTGCAATTAATTCCCCAAGAAGCTCACTAGTAAGGAGAAAGCGGCTTGGAACAGCTTTGTGGCAGTGGTTCGTGGCTTCCTGGGCAATCACAAGGTCGAAAACTATGTTGAGCTGGTTGAGACTTTGGTGAAGAACTACGGCACAATGGGCTGTAAGATGTCCCTCAAAGTGCATGTCCTTGATGTTCATCTTGATAAATTCAAGGAGAATATGGGAGCGTACTCGGAGGAGCAAGGCGATCGCTTCCACCAGGATATACTGGACTTTGAACGCCGCTACCAAGAACAGTATAACGAGAGCATGATGGGAGACTACATTTGGGGGCTGATTCGTGAAAGTGATTTACAGTATAATCGTAAATCTCGAAAAACTACTCACTTTTAAATATTCTGTAGTCATTTTTTGTATTACTTTAGTATAAATACATGTGAATTTTGATTCATATGTTGTTTTTCTCTAACTTTATGTGAACGAAAATACACAAATTCGCCCGTTTTCTCATTGAAAATAGATACTTTTCAAAATATCACTGTCCTGGTCACAAAAGCAAAGTTTGTGGGGAATAATTGCCATTTTCGATATTTTTTAGGCATAAGCAATTACGAAATAACACTTACTACCCAGGATAAAAAATTATGTTAGAGTAATTAATTGTTTGCAGTCTATTTTGGCTGTGTAGTCTTAATATTGCATTATTTAGCACCGTTCAATTGAAATGAACGTTTAATTAGCGACAACTTCAACAATCGTGCACCCATGGTTTAACACAGCTGCGATGGAATAGCAATGTGAATAAACTAATACTTTTATTACAATTCATGCTCAATGATGAGGGCAGGAGGCCCAGTGGTAGAGCGAATGGCTCACAGTCAAAATGTTGCAGGTTCATATTCTGGTTGGGGAGTGACTCAGCCCATCATGCCTCCGGGGCCGATACAATGTTTACCACTTTGTAGGGGAGTCAACAGCGATTATTTGAACAGACCCGATTCCACCATAGGAATGTGAGACTTCTGCCAATGGCTCAGGGCTGTAAACTGGAGATGACCTCCACCTTATTGCTCATTTTAGCAGGAAATCACTGTGACGTATAAAAACCGGGGGCATGGCCTTTGCCCCATTAATTGTACTTGAAGCGCAGGGCAGATCAGCCGGTGATGGTTCGGTCCCTCCGCCGTGCTGTGGGGCTGGGCAGCGCCGATCCCCGTGCTCTGTGTCGCGCCGCAGGAGTGGTGAGCAACACGGCGACCGCGGTGGTGCACAGCATCGTGGCGGGCTTCCCCGTGCGCTTCTCCATCCCGCAGAGCGACGGGTGGAAGTCGGGGCTTCGCCTGCCAGCTCGCCGTGGGCCAAGACTACAGCTACGACGCCAGGGTGCGCCCGTGAAGAGCAGCTACCCCAACGTATGTCGCCATTGATCATTTATCATCGTCAATCATGATCAATCCACTGCTGGATGAAGTTCTCCACAAGGCCACCGCTCACGATATTACGATGCGACAATCCATCAAGCACCTGCGCATGAACTTCTTTCATTGCTCCATTTAATTTGGGGAGTCCTTTCCTCGGCTGCTACTCCGTTATTATTCCTGCCCATTATGTGTGATGTCACGTCACCTTATCGCACATCATGCAGGCTACCTCTGCTCCCGATGATATCATTGCATGTGATTACATCACACTGTGCGGTTTGGAACGTAACATTATTATCGCTAGTTAAACACTTCCAAGACCAAAGGCGTGTTGGATAGTGCAATGGAAGCCATGCATATGCGTGATTTAGCTTCCTGGTTTAGGTTTTCAATAAGACGTTCACGTAGATATCCTTTGAGTAAATTATTCAGATATAACAAAAACGCCTCACGTAACTTTGTATTTTTTTTCCCTGGATGATGAATTGTCAAATTAAATACGGTGTATGTTTTTTTGTGAAGTTAAGTAAATACAGGGTGTTTATTTTGCTAATGTGCTAGGAAAAGTATTTTTTCTGTTAGTAAAACAGGTTTTTGCTGTTTAAGCAAGTGTGCAAACTTTAGGTAAATGTAAATTACGTCTGCGTTTGTTTTATGACTATACCGTATTGGCTTTGAGATCAACTTGGGTCTGGTGAGTTAGGGCAGGACAATTTACATGTCAAATGTTTTTAACCGCACCTTTATTCAACTCTTCCACTGTCCAATTGAACGGTAAGCAATTGAACGATAGGCAATCGCTGGGTGGTTGATTAAAGTGGACGTGCATTGATCGTCTTGTCTTTGGCGAGGCGCAGATCAAGCTTGTGGTGAAGTGGCAACTGAAAGACGACAACGGAAAAGATTTGTTCTGCTTCAAGTTCCCCGTGAAAATTGTCCGTTGTGACTTCTGAGCCTTGCCCTAGAGCAGGGCCCTCGACAATCGCGTCGCGTCTCCTGGAGATTGGTAACGGGGTATTACTGTGACTGATTGGTAATGTGGCATTGCCGAAAGGGTTTAGACGTGGAGCTTGGAGCTACACTTTTAGGCTTGGATCCTGGGCAGTACAACAGCAGGTTTAAGTTATGGTTATTTAGAAACCAGACAAGTTCTCTAGCGACGCCACGGTGGCATGACTGCTGGCCTTTGAATACAAGGTCACTGCAGTGATGCCACCAGATCATGCCTAAAATACACTTTACAGTTGTAATCAATGAAAACGAAGCTCTAAACTCATATTAAACAGCACGGGTGAGTCAGTGGTTCCTTAACTTCTGAACCCACTGATCACTGTCAACTCTCTTAAACATTTTTGTGGACTACCAAACACCAATAACATTTATTTCCAAAATTAAAATGACTCTAAATCATAGAATCTGCAGCAGTTCCACGAACCGCTTCCCAATGGCCTTGCGGACCACACGTTGAGAGTCACTGCTATACGGAATGTGACTAGAAGACAAAAACTACTTGTTTTTCTGGATGGTGTGTTTCTTTACCAGTCTAAACCTGTACTCCTTTATAGAGCCTGCAGTGCCATGGTTTGTTGTATGCGTTCTTATTTAATAAAGTTTTAATTCTCAGTTTACTGCACTGTATTTTTACTCTTATTTTGTGGTCAAAACTATTCCAAGGAGCATGCATATTGTATGTATTCAATTATTATGTTGGTGTTAAACGAGCCCTCTGTGGGTTAGGGAAGCAATCTCAGACCTAGTGAAGTGGATATGATTCAACCACAAGGTTTATCGCTCAAAATCCACACAGCTCTGCCGCTTTCAACATTTACATTTCAGAGACAACATGTGGTGTCATAAGCCTGCGGTAATTCAAGAAGAGCATGGTGTTATTGTGCGTACGCAAGAAGTTATAGGAACTACACCAATAAAAGTATGACCTTGATTTTGGAAAAAAAAACACTCGTAGCAGCGTATGTCATATTCTCTGGCTGTATATTATATGCGGGTAATGGTCTCTTGTGCCAGAGAGCCCAGTAGGCAGTCACTGCCAGCGTCTGTCACAAATTGTTGGAACATTTGTACTGACATGATGTGGCCTAATGATGTGGCCTTGTAAATTGCCTAATCCTTTCGAATAATATTTATACTGCATATTTTAAGAATATTGCGACTCTCAATGTTGTAGGAATATTACATTTTACTCGTATTGTTTGGTGGTGTGAAAGATAAATCCATCGTAAAAATATTTGTGCCAAAAGTTGAGATTCAAATCAATGTAAACAATTGTTTTTTTCTCAATCTACTGTTTCGCCTTGTGCTAACATAGCACAATGTAAACACAGCCCATTTATTAAATGTATAAATATTTGCATTCAATCATCACACTTTATATTTATGAGATTGCCAAATAATTTTGAAATTTGTATACAATAAAATAACTAGAGTAGCTTGCGTATGCTAAACCACGTGATGCGTTGCTCTGAAAGAGAAACATCCAACATGCTGAGAGCTAAAATTACTTGTGCAGATTTTGAAATTGTGAAATAATCAATGTAATAAATGACGTCTGCCGGAGGGAGAATGCATTTTGGAGAGTCGGGCTTTAGAAAGGATTCCATTTTCAGCACTGAAGCCACCTTCAGCTTGGTGGAACTAATGCACGGGCAGCTTAATGTGTGGGCCACGGGCCCCAAGCACCGCAGCTTCTCTGGGCCCGGCGAGAGAATAAAAGCCACAACGTGCCGTGTGATCCGGCTGTTGCGTGTGCTGTGCTTTGGCAGGGTGGGTGGTATAATGGTGCCCTTCCTATGCTGTTAGAAATAATCGATTTGCCTGGAGCTGTAGTAAAATTAAACAAAAATGAAAGCTGAACATGCTGCACTTGGGCATTCAGAGAAAAAGCCAAGTACAGGCACAATTTGTTAACATTCGTGGGTTTATTCAGTGGGATGTAATGTTAGACTTGTCTCTTTTGGATGTTATTGTTTTTTCAAGTATTTTTTTCCATCGAGCCCATAATATTATTATTACTACGCGTGCTTATCCAGGTAAGCCTCACTCAGTCTTACCTCTTCTTCAGAAGGGGCCTGATAAGTTTTTGCAGTAGGTGGACAACGATCACTATGTGTTTCTCAAGCGATTTCAAGTAATGTTTCAAATTAGGGGAATTTAACCTACCATGTCGACACAGTGCTCTTATCTTATATTCGTGATTTCACGGGATCTTCAATGTCCACTGTGAAGCACGCATTTTATGGCTAATAAGCAGCACAGGGTTTAACCGGGTCCAACCTGCCAGGTTCAAACTGCGAACTTATGTACCAATCTGTAAATGTGCTTCCGCTGGGCCACATCACCACCCCTACGACTGAGCAGAGCACTCCTGCTGTCGGAGTTCCATACCCGAGACTGATTCAACGGATATATAGAAATGTGATGATCACAACCTCTGTGAAAGCATTTTGAGGGCCTCTGCATAACTTAGTGAGGTTCTATTCTACTCATTCTCTATTTACACTCTGCTGAGTGGAGTCATACATTGACGGAGAACACACTTGGATTTTGTCTGTGGCCTCATCGTCAACCAGGTAAAAACTTGCAATTGTTAACTCGATGCCCACTTCCATTTTTTTTACTTGGGTAACTCGATTTTAGTCGTAGTCCATTCAAGCAACAAACCCACGTTCTCGTAGCTGTTGGCCAAGCATGGACCTGCCAACCTGACAGGGGTTCAAATTTGCGAGACCCCCCAAATGAAACACCGTGGGAAAAAACCCAAGAAATTGAGGCAGAAACTACAATACACCGAGGCACAGAAACGTACCAGTCGCGCAGCAGGCAAAGAGCTGCAAGAGGCTCACGTTTCGCACTCCAATCGTAAATAATCATAATACTAATCTTATATAGTTGTTTTTAGTTTCCCCACTGTTTTCTAATAGAAACCCTGAGAGTAAAAGACAAGTTTTGGAAGCAACCCTCACATTAGACCTGAACCGTCGGCAGCCACTGCAGATGAGACACTGCAATAAATATGGCTGAGTGCGTGATTGTCCTGTCAACAACAACAAACGTGGGCATGCATTTCACAGCCAGGAGACGCTCAAGACTGTGAGACACCGTGAGTCTCACGACTCCTGGGTGCTTGAGAATTGACGTGTGAGCGTTTACTCCAACACCGGGCGCATTCGGCCGTGGGCAACTCGGCAGCCATCTGGCATTGTGCCTATTGATTGAGCAGCTCCATTTATTCCCCTGCATGTTTCATTAAATAGAAACAATAAAGTTGACGCCTATTAATTCCCGGCGCAGTCACGTGAATTCACCCACACGCATTACGCATGCGATTGATTTTGGCCTGTGTGGTATTGCTTTGAGTGCCACAATGCCAGCACACCATGACAATTAAGTGGCGTGTGTCAGCGCGCGTCCGCGATGTGTGCAGCAGGCACGACAACTGTGCGATGCATTATTCATAGCGGCGCCTCGTGGCGGTTAGAACCCCTGCACTGACTCCTCGCCGAGAACCTCGCGCGAAAGGGCAGTGGATCTCAACTGGGAGGATGGAGTGTGGTTAAGCATGGGGGATCACTGGGTCATCGCCTACATTTCTACTTTCCCCAGACTGTGAATTATATTTTCTTTGATATGACCTCCAAACTCACATTTGTCCATCACCGCATGTGTATAATTCCGTGCCCTATTATGCATACAGTCTTAACTCTGACCTGTTATGTATGAGAGTTATGTCATTAATTGCCTATTCATTATTTTACTCACCCATGCATAAAAGCACATCTTGGCCTCCTGACATTAAGAAGCATATGCACTAAGAGACCCGAAAATGGTATGAAGCGTTTGCTGTAATGGAGACTGGTTCACTGCGGTGGAAATCCAGTGTCGCGCTTTTTTTTAAAAGGCCAATGTAAATATAACAGAGCCGCCTTGGGGCTTAATCACAACAGCAGATGCAAACATGAGCAGGCAGGGACGTTATTTATGATGTAATTATTTCACATTTCGAGCACAAGCTATCCTCACGTATAATTACCACCCTAGCCATAGGTCAACAAAGGACGGTGGCGACCCTGTGTCAGCCGAAAATACCGCATAACGCGTGAATCCCAGAACACCCGACACTTACACGACTTACAAGAACATTTGCAGTCTTATGAAAGTGAATAAAAAAACAAAATTCCAGTAAACACAATGATCAAAACCATCTGCCCCTTAAACACATTGTATCCATTTGCCTGGTAGTTGTGTGATGCAGGATGACCTTGTGATGTGTTGAGAAATGTCAACTTGAGTCTTCAGAACCTTTGCGCGTGTTCATTCTTCTGGTGTGGGGAAAACTCAGCAGGATTGCCTAACTGTGCACAGTGGACTGTGGACTTTCTCCCATCGAATTACGTTGGCATTTCTCTTTGGCCACTGGTCTGGCTCCCAAAAGACACAATCCAGAGAGCAGAGTCTGGTTTTTTGTGAGCGTGTGTTTTAAAACTCAGGGTGGAGCTCGGTATGCACCGACTAACTTTCAAACTCCTAAACAATGTAAGGGTCTTTTGATTTAAAGCTTTCGTGACTGCAGTAATTCATATTCTTAGCTCTTTCGGTAAAGTCACGTTGAAGGGAAACAATAAAATAATAAAATATATATAAAACAATAAAAATTCTCACGACGTTTCGACCATAACACAAACGGTCGTCATCAACCGACACACCTGATGACGACCGTTTGTGTTATGGTCGAAACGTCGTGAGAATTTTTATTGTTTTTATAGATATTTTATTATTTTATTGTTTCCCTTCAACGTGCCTTTACCGAAAGAGCTAAGAATATAATGTAAGGGTCAGCTCGCATATTCAAGCATTCGCTTGCTTTTGATGGGCGAGAGCGCTTATTTCACTCAATCGTATGACAACATTCATTTAAATTCCACAGCCGGTCATTGTG